CCAGGTGAGATCAGAACATGAACTGTGTTACAGGTGCGTTACAGGTGAGATCAGAACATGGACTGTGTTACAGGTGTGTTACAGGTGAGATCAGAACATGGACTGTGTTACAGGTGTGTGTTACAGGTGTGTTACAGGTGTGTTACAGGTGAGATCAGAACATGAACTGCGCCACCACGTCACTGCCGAACAGGTAACCCGCCCCCCGGGGGGACACGCCCCACCCCGTCGTGTCTGCAGGTGGGACAGGTGTGTTACAGGTGAGATCAGAACACCTGGACAGGTAAGAAACACCTGGACAGGTAACCCCAGAACACCTGAGACAGGTGAGAAACACCTGGACAGGTAACCCCAGAACACCTGAGACAGGTGGGACACACCTGGGCACACCTGGACAGGTAATTCACCCCAACAGATGACCCCGACCCATCAACCTTCATTCTCAGGTGTCAGGTGGGTTACCTATCCGGGTGTGACACAGAGCTGTGTCACACCGGGACAGGTACCCTCCCAGACACCTCAGAACAGCCTGTGAGATGAGATCCAGGTGGGACACACCTGGACAGGTGAGCCCAGAACATCTAAGACAGGTGTGACACATCTGGACACACCTGGACAGGTAAAACAAAGGTGGGACACACCTGGACAGGTAACCCCAGGACACCTCAGACAAGTGAGAAACACCCAGACAGGTGAGCCCAGGACACCTCAGACAGGTGGGACACACCTGGACAGCTGACCCCAGAACATCTAATACAGGTGGGACACATCTGGACAGGTAACCCCAGAACACCTGAGACAGGTGGGACACACCTGGACAGGTAACCCCAGAACATCTGAGACAGGTGGGACACACCTGGACACACCTGGACAGGTGAGCCCAAGACATCTCAGACAGGTGTGACAAGTGACAAAGGGGTGGGACACACCTGGACAGGTAACCCCAGAACACCTGAGACAGGTGGGACACACCTGGACACACCTGGACAGGTGAGCCCAGAACACCTGAGAAAGGTGGGACACACCTGGACAGCTGACCCCAGAACATCTGAGACAGGTGAGAAACACCTGGACAGGTGAGCCCAGAACATCTGAGACAGGTGGGACACACCTGGACACACCTGGACAGGTGAGCCCAAGACATCTCAGACAGGTGTGACAAGTGACAAACAGGTGGGACACACCTGGACAGGTGAGCCCAGAACACCTGAGACAGGTGGGACACACCTGGGCACACCTGGACAGGTAATTTACCCCCAACACCTTGGGGTGTCTGTGAATGAGATCCATGTGGGACACACCTGGACAGGTGAATCCACAACACCTGAGACAGGTGGGACAATGACAAACAGGTGAAGCACACCTGGACAGGTAACCCCAGAACATCTAATACAGGTGGGACACACCTGGACAGATAACTCCCCCCACAACACCTGAGTCCCACCTTGGGGTGTCTGTGAATGAGTTCCAGGTGGGATACACCTGCACAGGTGAGCCCAAGACATCTCAGACAGGTGTGACAAGTGACAAATGGGTGGGACACACTGGGACAGGTAACCCCAGAACACCTGAGACAGGTGGGACACACCTGGACAACTGAGAAATAGCTGGACAGGTGAGCCCAGAGCACCTGAGACAGGTGGGACATACTTGGACAGGTGAGCCCAGAACACCTGAGACAGGTGGGACACACCTGGACACACCTGGACAGATAATTCCCCCCACAACACCTGAGTCCCACCTTGGGGTGTTTGTGAATGAGATCCAGGTGGGACACACCTGCTCAGGTGAGCTCAGAACATCTGAGACAGGTGGGACACACCTGCACAGGTAACTCCCCCCACAACACTTGAGTCCCACCTTGGGGTGTTTGTGAATGAGATCCAGGTGGGACACACCTGGACAAGTAAGCCCACAACACCTGAAACCAGTGGGACACACCTGGACACATCTGGACAGGTAATTTACCCCATCATCTGTCTCACCTATCACACCTTCATCTCAGGTGTCGGGGGAGGGGTTACCTGTCCAGGTGTGACACAGACCCCCCCAAATCCCCCCTAGGTGTCCCCAGGTGTGTCCAGGTGTGCCCAGGTGTACCCAGATGTGCCCAGGTGTACCCAGGTGTGGCCCAGGTGTCCCTCAAGACGCCCCAAATCCCCTCTCAGCTCCCTCCAAGCATCTCCAGGTGCCCCCAGGACCCCCCAAATCCCCCTCAAATCCCCCTAAACCTCCCAGATCCCCCCCAGGTGTGCCCAGGTGTACCCAGGTGTGCCCAGGCTCACCCTCGGGGTCGGACCAGAGCAGGTCGCATATGGGCCCAAAGACCCCCAAACGCCCTCAAACCCCCCAAATCCCCTCAACCTCCCCAAATCCCTCCCAACTCCCCCAGGTAGGTGACCCAGGTGTGCCCAGGTGTGCCCTCACCCTCGGGGTCGGACCAGAGCAGGTCGCACATGGGCCCAAAGACCCCCCAAATCCACTCCAAATCCCCCTCAAACCACCCCAAATCCCTCAAACTCCCCAAACCTCCCTCAAACCCTCCCAGATCCCTCCCCAGGTGTACCCAGGTGTGCCCAGGTGTGCCCAGGCTCACCCTCGGGTCGGACCAGAGCAGGTCGCACATGGGCCCAAAGACCCCCCAAAACCCCCAAACCCCCTCAACCCCCCAAAATCCCCCCAACCCCCAATCTCCAGGTGATCCCAACCCCCAGGTGTGCTCCAGGTGTGCCCAGGTGTGCCCTCACTCGGGTCGGACCAGAGCAGGTCGCACATGGGCCCAAAGCCCCCAAATCCACCCCAAATCCCCTTCAAACCCCCTCAAACCTCCCCCAATCCCCCTCAAACGCCCCCAAATCCCTCCCAACGTGCCCAGGTGTGCCCAGGTGGCCCAGGCTCACCTCGGGGTCGGACCAGAGCAGGTCGCACATGGGCCCAAAGACCCCCAAACCACCCCAAATCCCCTCAACCTCCCCCAAATCCCCCTCGAAATCCCTCCCAACTTCCCCCAGGTGTGCCCAGGTGCCCAGGTGTGCCGCAGGTGTGCCCTCACCCTCGGGGTCGACCAGAGCAGGTCGCACATGGGTCCAAAACTCCCCAAATCCACCCCAAATCCCCTCAAACGCCCCAAATCCCCCCAATCCCCTCCAGGTGATCCCAAATCACCCCCAGGTATGCCCAGGTGTGCCCAGGTGTGCCCAGGCTCACCCTCGGGGTCGGACCACAGCAGGTCGCACATGGGCCCAAAACCCCTAAATCCCCCCCAAATCCCCTCAGACCTCCCCAAATCCCCCTCAAATCCTCCCAACCCCCCCAGGTGTGCCCAGGTGTGCCCAGGTGTGCCCAGGCTCACCTTCGGGGTCGGACCAGAGCAGGTCGCACACGGGCCCAAAGACCCCCCTCAAACCCCCCCCAAATCACCCCAAATCCCCTCAACCCCCAAATCCCTCAAACCTCCCCAATCCCCCAGGTGTGCCCAGGTGTGCCCAGGTGTGCCCTCACCCTCGGGGTCGGACCAGAGCAGGTCGCACATGGGCCCAAAGACCTCCCAAATTCCCCTCAACCCCCCCAAACCTCCCTCAAATCCCCTCAAACCCCCCCAAATCCCTCCCAAACCCTTCCAACCCCCCCAGGTGTGCCCAGGTGTGCCCAGGTGTGCCCTCACCCTCGGGGTCGGACCAGAGCAGGTCGCACATGGGCCCGTCGTGCGGCACCTCCTGCTTGCGGTCGATGGTTCGGATCTGGTCGAGGGTCTGGATGGACGGCGAGAGCCCCCCGTGCACGCAGAAGATCTGGGGGGGACAGGTAAGGACAGGTGAGGTCACCTGGGGGGGATATGGGAGGGGGAGAGCCCCCCGTGCACGCAGAAGATCTGGGGGGGACAGGTGGGCACAGGTGAGGTCACCTGGGGGGGATATGGGGGATGTGGGAGGGAGAGCCCCCGTGCACGCAGAAGATCTGGGGGACAGGGTGGGCACAGGTGAGGTCACCTGGGGGATATGGGAGGAGAGCCCCGTGCACCACAGAAGATCTGGGGGACAGGTGAGGACTAGGTGAGGTCACCTGGGGGATTTGGGAGGAGAGCCCCCGATGCACACAGAAGATCTGGGGGGGACAGGTGGGCACAGGTGAGGTCACCTGGGGGGGATATGGGAGGGGGAGAGCCCCCCGTGCACACAGAAGATCTGGGGGGGACAGGTAAGGACAGGTGAGGTCACCTGGGGGGGATATGGGAGGGGGAGAGCCCCCCCCGTGCACGCAGAAGATCTGGGGGGGACAGGTAAGGACAGGTGAGCTCACCTGGGGGGGATTTGGGAGGGGGAGAGCCCCCCGTGCACGCAGAAGATCTGGGGGGGACAGGTGGGGACAGGTGAGGTCACCTGGGGGGGATTTGGGAGGGGGAGAGCCCCCCGTGCACGCAGAAGATCTGGGGGGGACAGGTGGGCACAGGTGAGGTCACCTGGGGGGTGATAGGTGCCTCCGTGACCCCCAAGTGCTCCCAGGTGTCCCCAGGTGTGTGTAAATGATCCCAGGTGTGTCTAAATACCCCCAGGTGTGTCCCAGGTGTGTGTAAATGATTCCAGGTGTGTGTAAATGCCCCCAGGTGTGTGTAAATGGCCCCAGGTGTGTGTAGATGCCCCCAGGTGTGTGTAGATGCCCCCAGGTGTGTGTAAATGATCCCAGGGGTGTGTAAATGATCCCAGGTGTGTGTAAATGAATCCAGGTGTGTGTAAATGCCCCCAGGTGTGTGTAAATGATCCCAGTGTGTGTAAATGATCCCAGGTGTGTAAATGCCCAGGTGTGTGTAAATGATCCCAGGTGTGTGAAATGATCCCAGGTGTGTGTAAATGATCCCAGGTGTCCCAGGTGTAAATGCTCCCAGGTGTGTGTAAATGATCCCAGGTGTGCCCAGGTGTGTGTAAATGCCCCAGGGTGTGTGTAAATGATTCCAGGTGTGTGTAAATGATTCCAGGTGTGTGTAAATGACTCCCAGGTGTGTGTAAATGATCCCAGGTGTGTGTAAATGATTCCAGGTGTGTGTAAATGATTCCAGGTGTGCCCAGGTGTGTGTAAATGCCCCCAGGTGTGTGTAAATGATGATGCCAGGTGTGTGTAAATGATCCCAGGTGTGATCCCAGGTGTGTGTAAATGATCCCAGGTGTGTGTAAATGATCCCAGGTGTGTAAATGCCCCCAGTGTGTGTAAATGATCCTCCAGGTGTGTGTAAATGATCCCAGGTGTGTGTAAATGCTCCCAGGTGTGTGTGAATGCCAGGTGTGTGTAAATGCTCCCAGGTGTGTGTAAATGCCCCAGGGTGTGTGTAAATGATTCCAGTGTGTGTAAATGATCCCAGGTGTGTGTAAATGATCCCAGGTGTCCCCAGGTGTGTGTAAATGATCCCAGGTGTCTCCCAGGTGTGTGTAAATGCCCCCAGGTGTGTGTAAATGACCCCAGGTGTGTGTAAATGATTCCAGGTGTGTGTAAATACCCCCAGGTGTGTGTAAATGATTCCAGGTGTGTCCCAGGTGTGTGTAAATGCCCCCAGGTGTGTGTAAATGATTCCAGGTGTGTGTAAATGAGTATCCAGGTGTGGTAAATGCCCCAGGTGTGTGTAAATGCCCCCAGGTGTGTGTAAATGATCCCAGGTGTGTCCCAGGTGGTGTAAATGATCCCAGGTGTGTGTAAATGATCCCAGGTGTCCCCAGGTGTGTGTAAATGCCCCCAGGTGTGTCCCAGGTGTGTGTAAATGATCCCAGGTGTGTAAATGATTCCAGGTTGTCCAGGTGTGTAAATGCCCCCAGGTGTATGTAAATGATCCCAGGTGTGTGTAAATGCCCCCAGGTGTGTGTCAATGCTCACCTTTCCGTCGATGATGGCAGACAGGCTGAGGTAGTCGAAGATCTCGGTGCAGTAGCGCCACACGGTGACCGAGCCGTACTTGCGCAGGCACTCGTCGTAGAAGCCGTACACCTGAGTGATCTGACGGCTCTCGTGGTTCCCCCGGATCAGCGTGATCCGGTCCGGGTACCTCACCTGTGGGGACAGGTAAATGGCACACCTGACACACCTGGACAGGTGTCAATACACCTGACACACCTGGGGACAGGTGAATGGCACACCTGGGCAGGTAAATGGCACACCTGATGATACACCTGAGAGCACACCTGACACACCTGGGGACAGGTAAATGGCATCCTTGGACAGGTAAATGGCACACCTGACACACCTGGGCAGGTAAATGGCACACCTGACACACCTGGACAGGTGTCAATACACCTGACACACCTGCGTGATCTGACGGCTCTCGTGGTTCCCCCGGATCAGCGTGATCCGGTCCGGGTACCTCACCTGTGGGGACAGGTATTGACACACCTGACACACCTGGACAGGTGTCAATACACCTGACACACCTGGGGACAGGTAAATGGCATCCTTGGACATACCTGGACAGGTAAATGGCACACCTGATACACCTGGGCAGGTAAATGGCACACCTGATACACCTGAGAGCACACCTGACACACCTGGACAGGTAAATGGCACACCTGGCACACCTGCACAGGTGTCAATACACCTGACACACCTGGGGACAGGTGAATGGCACACCTGACATACCTGGAGAAGCAAAATGCACACCTGGCACACCTGAGAGCACACCTGACACGCCTGGGCACACCTGGACAGGTGAGGGGGAACACCTGGACCCCCCTGGGGGCACCCCTGGGCACCGGTGAGGGCTCACCTTGAGCGCCAGCAGCAAGGGCTGATCCCACTGACACAACTGGACAGGTGAGGGGCACACCGGGGACTGGCACACCTGGCCGGGTCAGGGGGCACACCTGGGCACCCCTGGGCACCCCTGGGCACAGGTAAATGCTCACCTTGAGCGCCAAGAGCAGCAGGAAGGTCTCACCTCACCTCATCTACCATACACCTGGTTAGGTCAGGGGCACACCTGACACTGGCACACCTGGCCAGGTAAGGGCACACCTGGGCACCCCTGGGCACTCACCTTGAGCGCCAGGAGCAGCAGGAAGGTCTCACCTCACCTCATCTACCACTGACACACCTGGACAGGTGAGGGGCACACCTGGGCACACCTGGCCGGGTCAGGGGGCACACCTGGGCACCCCTGGGCACCCTGGGCACAGGTAAATGCTCACCTTGAGCGCCAAGAGCAGCAGGAAGGTCTCACCTCACCTCATCTACCACTGACACACCTGGTTAGGTTAGGGGCACACCTGGGCACACCTGGCCGGGTCAGGGGCACACCTGGGCACACCTGGGTACACCTGGGCACACCTGGGCACACCTGAGGGCTCACCTTGAGCGCCAGGAGCAGCAGGAAGGGCTGATGCCACTGACACACCTGGCGGGACAGGTGAGGGGCACACCTGGCACTGGCACACCTGGGCACACCTGGCCGGGTCAGGGGGCACACCTGGGCACCCCTGGGCACACCTGGGCACAGGTAAATGCTCACCTTGAGCGCCAGGAGCAGCAGGAAGATCTCACCTCACCTCATCTACCACTGACACACCTGGACAGGTGAGGGGCACACCGGGGACTGGCACACCTGGGCACACCTGGCCAGGTCAGGGGGCACACCTGGGCACCCCTGGGCACACCTGGGCACAGGTAAATGCTCACCTTGAGTGCCAGCAGCAGCAGGAAGGGCAGATCCCACTGACACACCTGGCCAGGTGAGGGGCACACCTGGCACTGGCACACCTGGGCACACCTAGCTGGGTCAGGGGGTACACCTGGGCACCCCTGGGCACTCACCTTGAGCGCCAGGAGCAGCAGGAAGGTCTCACCTCATCTCATCTACCACTGACACACCTGGACAGGTGAGGGGCACACCTGGGCACACCTGGCCAGGTCAGGGGGCACACCTGGGCACACCTGGGCACCCCTGGGCACAGGTAAATGCTCACCTTGAGCGCCAGCAGCAGCAGGAAGGGCAGATCCCACTGACACACCCGGGCACACTTGGACAGGTGAGGGGCACACCTGGGCACACCTGGGCACACCTAGCTGGGTCAGGGGGTACACCTGGGCACACCTGGGCACCCCTGGGCACAGGTAAATGCTCACCTTGAGCGCCAGGAGCAGTAGGAAGGTCTCGACGCTGTAGAAGCCGCGGTCCACGAAGTCCCCCATGAACAGGTAATTGGTCTCGGGAACGTCCCCGCCCACCTGGGGGGGGCAAAAATTGGGGGGTTTAGGAATTTGGGGGGGTTAATTAGGGGTTAATTAGTTAATTGGGGGGTTGAGGAGG